GCCGTGCGGGCGGTGGTGTCTGGGCGAGGCTGTTGCCCCTCTTTGGGGGGGTGTTTCCCTCTGTGGGGCGGAAGAGGTGGGGGGAGGTTATTGCCCCGCTGTGGGGGGGCTGTTGCCCCCTCGCTGTGGGGCAGCAGGGGGCTGAGGGGGTTGTTGCCCCCTCGCTGTGGGGCAGTGCGGAGTTGCTGCCCCCTCCGCTTTGCCTTGCAAGCGCCGTTTCCCCCTTGACCTCCTCGGGCCTCAGGAGCGCGGAGGTTGGGGGCCAGCTGTGAGCGCTGGTTCCTTTCCCCTGCATCTCTCCCAGAATCACGGAGCGGTTGGGGTGGGCAGGGACCTCTGGAGATCGGCTGCTCCAACCCCTGCTGGAGCAGGGTCCGCGGGAGCAGGCTGCTCAGGGCTGTGTCCCATTGAGTTTTGACTATCTCCAGGGCTGGAGATGCCACAACCTCTCTGGGCAACCTGTTCCAGCGCTCAGCCACCCTCGCAGTAAAGAAGTTTTTCCTCATGCTCAGAGTGAGTTTCCTGTGTTCCGCTTGGTGCCTCTTGCCTCTCGTCCTGTCACTGGGCACCACTAAGAGTGTGTCCCTGTCCTTTTGACACCCTCCTATCAGATATTTTTACACACTGATCAGATCCCATCCCCCCGAGCCTTCTCTTCTGCAGGCTGAACAGTCCCAGCTCTCTCAGCTCCTCCTCATATGAGAGATGCTCCAGTCCCTCAGTCATCTTTGTGACCCTCCGCTGGACTCGCTCTAGGAGCTCCATGTCTCTCTTGTACTGGGGAGCCCAGCCTGGGACCCGGCACTCCAGGTGTGGCCTCACCAGGGCTGAGTAAAGGGACAGGATCGCCTCCCTCGACCTGCCAGCAATGCTCTGCCTGATGCAGCCCAGGTTACCATTGGCCTTCTTGGCCACAAGGGCATAGTGCTGGCTCATGTCCAACTTTTGTGTCTACTAGGACTCCCCAAGTCCTTTTCTGCAGGGCTGCTCTCAAGCTTGGTGGCCCCAGCCTTTCTTAATGCATGGGGTCATTCCTCCCCAGGTGCAGGACTTTGCACTTTTCTTTGTTGAAGGACTGTTGAGGAACTTCGGAAAGTTCTTCTCCGCCCATTTCTCCAGGCTGTGGTGGTCCCCCTGACTGGCAGCACAGCCCCCTGGTGTATTAGCCAGTCTTCCCAGTTCCTTCCCAGCTCCCTCGCTCCTGTAGCTGTAGTGCCCAGTGGCCCAGGGTGACCTGGCTTTGTGATGAATGGCACTTTGAGCTCCTTTGGAGGCAGTGAGCCTCAGCATGTCCATACTTGACCCGCTGGTGTCACAATGGAGTTGGGTCATGGCTCGTCCTCTTTAACGCTGTTTTAGCACAGAGAAGGCACTGAGTGTGAAGACTACTCTGGAGCTGAAGAGGGAGGCAATTTAGAAGGGGCCAAACTGAAATTTGGCCCGGAGTACCTGCCTCTGACAAGTACTGGGGTTTTCATGGTGTTAAATGTTCCGACTCTTCATTTTGCGTGTTCCTCAGGAAATAGCCCGAATAGCACAATGCCTTCCGAAGTGTGGCGCTTTATGCATTGCAGGCTTACGGATAGAGAGTCTGAACCCCTCCCAGTCCCCGGCAGTCTGTCTGGGCTTTTCCAGGGTTTCCGTCTATCTGTTGCAGTGATCGGACCAGGTAGCCTGAAGCCTGCTGGAGCTCAGCAGAGGGTTGTGTTGGTGTGGGCTGGGAGTTAGTACTTCAAAGCAGTTCGTCAGAATTGCTGGAGTGTACAACTTGTGTGTCTGCTGTAGCGGCAGGACACGAAATCCCTGACCGTTCCAGAGCAGGAGGGCACGGCTGTTCTCACTGAAGCACTTGTGATAAATCATTTTTGCTGCCCAGGTTTCTTCCCTTGCGTTCTTTTTTTCTTTCAGTACTGCAGCCATACGTTCTTATAAGCTGGAGCACGATAAATAGCATATGCCCGTTAACTGTTCCTGCTCAGACACCACAACGTGCTGATCCTGCTCTGACTCTCTCTTACTTTGCAGGCCACAGCAACAGACCAGGTGGTTGGATTTGGCTTGGTAGCCTTCAGCCTTGTTCTCTTTGTTTACTACACCATCTGGATCATCATACTGGTATGGGTCTTGCTCTACCTATTGTAATCTCGGTAACTTGGCTACTGTGTTTGCTAGACTTTATTTAGGTGCCGATGTGTCCTTGTGTCTGAAAGAACTCTGCTTTGCTAGCTTCCTGGTGAAAAATGTCAGTGTAGAACTTCCTGTAGTTTGCTGGTGCACACCTTGCTCTTTCTAGGTGTGCCTGCCCTTGTCTGGGTAAGATCAAGCTTAGACTCTGCCACCTGCCCTGCTGCTCTGAGACAGACAGGTTTGGCCAGTGTAAGAGTTGAGACTGACCTGAACAGTCATCGAGAGCTAAAGCCTGCCATTCTGGAGGTGTCGGATAAGGATTGTTGTCATGAATGTTCATTTTTGCTGTCTTCTGATTCCTGGTTCTGGTGGGAGGTGACAGGGGGAAATATAAAAAGAGACTCTACTTACTAAATCTGGAGCCCAGTAAGGAGAATAGTTTAGGGAACATGGAGCTCTAGAAAATTGGTTGCGAGCCGGACAGTTTGTCCACTTCCCCGACAAATCAGCTGGGGTGATGAGTGGTATTCTCCCTGGAAATCCTGGAAAGAAATGTCTCCCTGTGAGATCTCCAGGTGCAAGAGGTCTGGTTCAGCCTTGGGCTGATGTCTGGATTCCTAGCAGCTTCCCGTCTAAGCTCTGAGAGTTTTGGGTTCCCCCCTACAGTCTGCTTACTCTGTGGTCTAATATGGATTGATATAGTTTGTAATCTTATGAGCTTGGTAGGTATACTCTCTGCTACCTAGCAATCATTACACTGCTCTCTAGTGTCCAAAGTATTCCACTTTCCTCAGCTAAGGAATCTTGGCAGGATCTCCATGAAACAAATCAAGTGCTATCTGTTCCCTTTTACAAACACTAGAAAGTCCAGGGATTTGATGTGTTCAGCACCAAGCAGGAAGCCAGCTTGAGACCCTGAGCTTTGGGGCTCCTGTGCCAGTGCTGTGTACAGCCCCTCTCACGCTCTGCACTCCCTGCACTGCTAACCGCTGAAGCACTTGGCTGCCTTTTGTTACCGTGTTCGCTGCAGCTGCGGTGCTGTTGCACAGGGGCCTTAGCCACAGGCAGGTGTAGCCACCCTTTTTTTAGGCATCTTTTCTAGCCTGATGTTTCCATCCTGCTTCTGAAACCACGAGGCTGCAGGTGCTGGTGACTGGCCCTCGTGCTGTGCCCACCTGCTCATGCCCCTCTGTTTTCTGCAGCCGTTCATCGACAGCGACCATGGGATCCATCAGTACTTCTTGCCCAGGGAGTATGCCGTTATTATCCCTGTGGCGGCCGGGCTCCTGCTGCTGCTATTTATAGGTGAGTGTTATCTCTGTAGTTCTAATTAGAGGTTTCTAAATTAGAAAGAGAGAAGACGGTTGCTAGGGGGTTAGCTGCTGCATGACACTTGTGACATGCTGCCTGTGGCTCTTGCAGCAAGAGCTCAGCGTAGCACTGGAACTGTGGCATAGGCTCTGGTGATGTGTGTTTGTGCGCACACATCTGTACCTTCAGTTGTCCGAGCTTCTGGACAGTGGAGTTGTTTCTCTCCCTCTTTGCTGAGGTTGTGTTTCTCACTGCAGTGTATTTCAAAAGTGCCAGTAATTGGAAATTTTCTGATTGAATCTATCCTCTTTGGCATGATAGGCATTTTCATAGCGATTGTGATGTGGAAGAGCAGGAAACCTGTGAAGAAATCAGACTGAAGTCCCAACTGAGAGAGTTGAGGAGAAGGCATCCACCCTTCAACATCTTAGCTGGGGAAAGACTTTGCCTGCAGCACCAAGTGGACACCTCCTCCAAAGCTCTCCTCTGCAGTAGAAGTGGTGCTGAGCTGGCTGCTCTCTCTCCAATGTTCCTACCTGGAGAGGTGTGACTGGGTATAATTTACAGCTCACGGACCAAAGGGAAGCAAAACTCTGACCTACAGGAGGAGCCATTTCGAAAGGGACCAGAACTCCAGCTATGACGGATCTGCTCCTCAGCTGGAGCTACGTGTAGCGGCAGTGGCTTTGGCCTGTGCTGTGGGGAGGAACTGTGAGGGCACAGCAGCTGTAGCTACCAGAGTGTGAGTCTAGCTCTGACCTGTCAGGAGCTCGGCCTCTGGGAAGCTGTTCTCCTCTACTCTTCCTGTGTCTAGTAGTTTGTTCCTTATGTTTTTTAAAACTGTTTACGTGTGGTTTGTTGGGTTTTTAATTGGGTTCAAGATGTAGAGAACAGAAAGAAGACTCTGGGCTTGGGAAAGGCAGACTTGCGTTCTCCCTTAGCCTGCTGGAGGGGCTAACCATGGTCCTGGTGGGCTCATGTTTATGAAGAGGGATCCCTGTGAAGCTGGCCTGGCGGAGGATGCAGGACAGTGCCGTGTTCTGCTGTTCTCTGGCAGGTCTGCCTGCATCCCCTCCTGCAGTCATCCAGCCGAGGGAATGGGGAGGATGCTTGTGCCCTGGACTGCAAAGGAAGCATTTGGCTCCTCCACTAATGAATGCGGTTCCAACCACAGCTGTCAGCTGCTGGCTTGGTTCCTGCCCTCGCCAAGGCTCTGCGCGCCAGCATGGCTGGGGCCGAGCGGACAGGCACTGCAGAACTCCATCTTCTCACTGTGGGGTCTCTTCTCCTGGCAGCAGCTTCTCCCCTTAGGTGTGGAGCCCTGGCAGGTCCCTCACACTGCAATGAGTTGGAATCGCCCTCAGTAAAGGTCTGCAAGGTTTTGGTCTCTCCTCCTCCTGTGTTCAGTGCAGAGGTGCAGTAGGCGTGCAGGGAAGCAGGGATGGATTCTCCTGCACATCACTGGGGCACTGCTGCGCATGGCCCTGGCAACGCCTACAGCCTTGCTCTGAAAGGTCCTGCCAATGTCCACAGGTTCTCCTTGGCCCTCATCCTGCTGGTGCGGCCCAACAGTGGGAGAACCGGTTCCGTGGGGAGGTGAAGATGCAGCTGAATCAAAACTACCTGCTGCCTCTCCCCTGCCTTTGCTGTGTCCGGCAGCAGGAGCGGAGACTGGCACCATCCCTTGGGAGCAAAGCAGTGGAGTCAGGCGAGAGCCCATCACAGGGTTACCGAGCCAAACGCAATGGCTGGGAGCCCCGTGGAAGGAAGCGATAAAACCCCAGCGTGGGGCTGGGCAGGAAGGAGCCAGAGAGAACCTGGCCAGGGCTGTGACTGGCGTACGCGGCCTCGCGCAGACTTGCTGGCCCTGCTGTGCTGAGGAGGGCGGCTTTACCCGAGCTGGGGTAGCTCCAGCAGCCGTGGTGCAGCAGGAGGGCAGAGCTGGGGGCGCTTTGATCCTTGCACATGCTGTGAACTTCCCCTGTAAGGCAGCAGCGTTTCCTGTCATCTCCCATCCTCTCGGGAGCGCTGCTGATTGCCAGGAGACCTCCCTGGGTACCGCAGGTCTGAGGAGCGGGGCGGCGGTGTAACCTGCTGCCTGGCTGGAGCTCCAAGGGGATGAAGCAGCAAGGCTCCAGCTGGAGGTTTCTATTTTGAGCTCGGGCAGAGGCTGCCAGGCTGCACGCCAGTCCTGCTCGGGTGCTGCCAGTGCCCTCCGCAGGGCCACCTCCCTGAGCCCGAGTCCTCGATCTCTTCATTTCCCTTTGCCTGCATCTTGCTGCTTCCCCTTCTCCCTTTGTGAAATCTCCAGCTCTCCTCTTCCCGGCCTCTCCGTGCACTGGAAATAGCTCCAGCCAGCCCCGTGAAGATGAGTTTGTGCTGACACAGGGGTGCCTCACCGGGAGAGGAAAGCAAAAGGGGGAAAAAAATCAGTCATGTCTCTTAGCAATTCCAGGCAGTTTCCCAGCCTGCCAGGTCCAGAATTAACTCGTGCTGGGGTTAGTCCCCGCCGCAGCTCTCCTGCCTACGGCTGCCTCCCGCCCCCCCGACTCGGGGCCTGCCGCGCGCCCG